TCTGTTACCTTATTAGGGTCATTAACAGTGCATCTCAGGATTGTACATTGCTCAATTTTTGTTTGCTTTCATGTAATAAAAGAAATTGTTGATTCTAATGAGCCATTGTGTTCTGTTCTTTTATTTGATTGGTCCCACTTTTTTTCTACCCTAACATCTACTTCCAGCAGAAGTGTGGCTTCCAGTTGTTCCATGGAGGCACCTTCAGGGACTACTTCTGAGAAAGGCAGCTGGAGCTAAAACAGGCAGAAGGGGTTCAGCTAGAGCAGATCTGACTTATCTGTTCCAAATAAGATTTTATTTGAACATACAGTTTAAAACTTAACTGTAGTAGAACATGTAAATAATGTGTTGACTCATTGCCCCCATGGGCTAAACTAGAACTTGGATCTCACATTCTTTGGATGAGGAATGAAATTGTATTACTCTTCAGAGTTAATCAGCATTCCAGAGGCTCTAGGCTCTATTTTGGATTGAAGCTTACTACCTTGAAAGAACTGATTCTTTTTTTTTGAGACAGAGTTTTACTCTTGTTGCCCAGGCTGGAGTGCAGTGGTGTGATCTTGGCTCACTGCAGCCTCCGTCTCCTGGGTTCAAGCGATTCTCCTGCCTCAGCCTCTTGAGTAGCTGGGATTACAGGCACTCACTACCACACCCAGCTAATTTTTTGTATTTTTTAGTAGAGACGGTTTCGCCATGTTGGCCAGGCTGGTCTTGAACTCCTGACCTCAGGTGATCCACCTGCCTCGGCCTCCCAAAGTGCTGGGATTACAGGCGTGAGCCACCACGCCCAGCTGAAAGAACTGATTCTAATACGTAGCCAAATTATTTGTTACAAAGGCTGGTATGTTATTAGAAATTATATTACCTAGCATTGAGCCCCTGGAGCTTCTGCCCTGAAAGTTGAGCTATGCAGTTTCAGCAGGTACAAGATCTACCCCAGACACAAGAGGCGCTATGCCAGGACTGATGGGAAGGTTTTCCAGTTCCTTGGTGCGAAATGTAAGGGTTCAAGCAATTCTCTGCCTCAGCCTCCTGAGCCTCCTGAGTAGCTGGGATTATAGGCGCCCGCCACCACGCCCGGCTAATTTTTGTATTTTTAGCAGAGATGAGGTTTCACCATCTTGGCCAGGCTGGTCTTGAACTTCTGACCTCATGATCCACCTGCCTTGGCCTCCCAAAGTGCTGGGATTACGGGTGTGAGCCACTGTACCTGGCCAAGGGCATTCGTTTCTAAGGAATCCTCAGCAGATAAACTGGTCCTCTACAGAAGAAAGCATAAAAAAGGGACACTTGGAAGAAATTAAAAAGAAAAGAACCTGCTGAGCAAATTCCAGAGGGCCATTACTGGTGCATCTCTTGCTAATATAGTGGCCAAGAGGAATGAGAAACATGAAGTTAAAAAGGCTCAATGAAAACAAGCTAGCAGGGCTGCTAAGGAAGCAAAAAAGGCTAAGCTAGCATCTAAAAAGACCGCAATGGCTGCTGCTAAGGCAGCAGTTACACAAAAGGTTGTGAAGCCTGTGAAAGTGTCAGCTCCCCGAGTTGGTTCAAAACACCAAGTTGACAGATCAGATGCTTAAAGATTGGACTATAAAAAAATACAAATTATATTACCTAACATTTGTGTAACATATTTTAGTTTTTCAGAGGACACATGGCAGGTTATATTGTGCTATAGAGCCTCTTCCACAAATATATTCAGTAATTAAAACAAAAAACACCAAACTCTCAACATACACAAAGCTTAATTGATAAGTTATTAAGAAAATTTCAGATTCTATTGCAATCATTAAATCTCAAGGTGCTTTCAGAGTCCGTGAGAAGACAGGTTTAATGTAGCATAGTGCTAAGTTTTGCATTACTCATATTTTCGTCTAGCGTTGTTACTATCTGGCATTCATTTCTACCCTAGAGGTCTTCTGGTTATTAAAAAAAAAAAAAAAAAAAAAAACCTATGGGAGTTTTTTGTTTCTGAAGGGTTTTTTTTGGTTTGTTTTTTGGTTTTTTTTTGAGACGGAGTCTCACTCTGTCGCCCAGGCTGGAGTGCAGTGGCGTGATCTCAGCCCACTGCAAGCTCCGTCTACTGGGTTCAGGCCATTCTCCTGCCTCAGCCTCCTGAGTAGCTGGACTACAGGTGCCCGCCACCATGTCTGGCTAATTTTTTGTATTTGTAGTAGAGATGGGGTTTCATCTTGTTAGCCAGGATGGTCTCGATCTCCTGACCTCATGACCCACCTGCCTCAGCCTCACAAAGTGCTGGGATTATAGGCATGAGCCACTGTGCCCAGCCGCTTATGATGTTTTTTAAAATACACATTTCATTTTCAATTAAGGCAGATTTAGAATATAGCATTAACACAGAGAAATTGTCTAAAAAACATTTAGACAGTTTCAGTGTTTTTCCTACTTGGAAGTGATAGGAAACAAGAATGGGGCCAGGTGCAGTAGCTCACCCTTGTAATTCCAGCACTTCGGGAGGCTGAAGTGGGTAAATTACTTGAGGTCAAGAGTTCAAGACCAGCCTGGCCAACATGGCGAAACCTTGTCTCTACTAAAAATACAAAAATTAGCCAGGCGTGTTGGTGCACACCTGTAATCCCAGCTACTCGGGAGGCTGAGGCAGGAGAACCCCTTGAACCTGGGAGGCAGAGGTTGCAGTGAGCCGAGCACCCCTGCACTCCAGCCTGGGCAACAGAGTGAGACTCCATCTCAAAAAAAAAAAAGAAATGAGTGGAAAGGTAGGCATAATCAAGACAGTAAATAGTCTTGTGTAACACGCAAGAGTTTGAACTGTATGTGGATGGGAAGCCACTGAAGAATTATAAGCTAGGGAATTACACCATTACATTGTGCTTTAAAATATTTCTCAAGTACCGTTTGGAAGGGATGAGTTAGAGTAACGCAAGAATGGAGTCAGTAAGTAATGATGCCTCTCCTACAAGATAGCATAAAGATGACAGGAGAGACAAGATGCCTGAGCTAGGGAATAGGGTTAAGGATGAAGGGATGAATCTGACAGATGTAAGTGTTAAGTGCAGTGTGGCTAAGACTCATTGACTATGGAGGGGAAGGAGGAAGAATCCAGATTGAGTTCTGTCTTGGACAGCTATCTTTACTGTGATGCAGTTATCCAATATAGGAGTTTTATAGGATAGGAAAGGGGTAGAATATAAGTTTGCAACTGAAGGCCATGTGAGTAATGATACCAGTAGGAACTGGAGCTTAAAATGGATATTATACATTTTGATGGTACTTGGACCCATAGAAGTAGAGGAGTTTATAGGACTAAGGTGAGGGGTAAAAAGAAATTAAGAAATTAGAACAGAACCTTCGGAGCTCTGAAGATGGAAAGAGTGGCTAGGGAAAGAAAGAACCAGAACTATTGTACTCATTAAAACTTTTACTATTTACAGCCTCTTTCCTCCTTATTCCCTGTGTCTTTAACATAAGACTAAAGCCAGGAAAGGACTGGGTCCCGGGAAACCAAGCAGGGCTTTTATACTGCTTACGGTACTTGATGGAACTTTTCACTACAGAATGCGAAACTCTACACTCTAAACAGTTGCTGCTTCCCAACTGAAAACTCCCACATGTCTACAACTGTACCTTTATTCACATTAGTCTTGCCTTGACATTCTCTTACTCCTGTGCAGTTAAGACCACGATCGATATTCTTTTTTTTTTTTTTTTGAGATGGAGCCTCGCTGCAACACCCAGGCTGGAATGTAGTGGCGCCATCTCAGCTCACTGCAACCTCTGCTTCCCGGGTTCAAGTGATTCTCCTGCCTCAGCCTTCGAGTAGCCGGGACTACAGGCACTTGCCACCGTGTCTAGCCAATATTTGTATCTTTAGTAAAGACAGGCTTTCACCATATTGGCCGGGCTGATCTCGAACTCCTGACCTCAAGTGATCCACCCACCTCGGTGGATGGATTATAGGTGTGAGCCACTGTGCCCGACCAACATTCTCTCTTTTTGAGATGGAGTCTCACTGTGTTGCCCCAGGCTGGAGTACAGTGGCATGATCTCGGCTTACTGCAACCTCACCTCCTGGCTTTGAGGATTGATTCTCCCACCTCAGCCTGACGAGTAGCTGGGATTACAGGTACCTGCCATCATGCCCGGCTAATTTTTGTATTTTTGTAGATACGGTGTTTTACCACGTTGGCCAGGCTGGTCTTAAAATCCTGACCTCAGGTGATCTGCCTGTCTCAGCCTCCCAAAGTGCTGGGATTACAGGTGTGAACCGCCACGCGCAGCCCAATATTCATTCTTATGAGTACTCTAATTGATGCAGTTTCTAGCCCATGTATTACTAAAGATCAGATATTCACTATGTATAGTAATAGATACATAACAATGTCCAGAAAAGGTATTTAATAGAAAGCAGAATTTTTTTTAACTTTGATTTTAAATTCAGGGGTACATATGCAGGTATATTACGTAGGTAAACTTGTGCCATAGGGTTTGTTACACAGATGATTGCATCATCCAGGTATTAAGCCTAGTACCCATTAGTTGTTTTCCCTGATCCTCTCCCTCCTCCCACCCTCCACCCTCTGATAGGCCCCAGTGTGTGTTGTTCCCCTCTACGTGTCTGTGTGTTCTCATCATTTAGTTCCCGCTTAAAAGTAAGAACATGTGGTATTTGGTTTTCTGTTCCTGTGTTAGTTTACTAAGGATAATGGCCTCCAGCTCCGTTCACGTCCTGGCAGAGGACCTGATCTTACTCATTTTTATGACTGCAGAAAGCAGAAATCATAATCTGAGTAATGCCATAAGATATATAAATAGGGGAAAAATAACCTTATTTACTGATAGAGAAATTCATTATGCTGGAATATTTTTATGTTTTCTAGACTAGTGAGTGTGGAGTAATTAGCAATATGAAGTTCAAAGTTTGGGTAAAAGGTTTACTTTTGTCTTGGTTTTATTTATTTATATTATATATATATATGTGATGTGTATATATAGTATATGTATGAATTTATTTGTAGCTCTGAAGATGGCTGTGGTAGATATCTATCATTCCAGGTTAAAGGAGAGACAAAGACGAAAAAAGTAAGTATAATAAACCATCCTGGCCTCCTTTCAGCTTTGGATTATTGTTTTGTGTGCGTGTGTGTGTGAGAGAGAGAGATAAGGTCTCACTCTATTGCCCAGGCTGGAGAGCAGCGGCATAATCATGGCTCACTGCAGCCTCAACCTCCCAGGCTCAATCGATTCTCGCACCTCAGCCTCCTGAGCATGTGGGACTACAGCAGTGCACTGGCTAATTTTTTGTGTTTTTTGTAGATACAGGGTTTCACTATGTTGGCCAGGCTGGTCTCAAACTCCTGGACTTAAGTGATCCTCCCTCCTCAGCTCCCAAAGTGTTAGGACTGCAGGCATGAGCCACTGTGCCTGGCCTCAGCTTTGAGTGATTGACCACATATAGTCCATGAGAGAATGCTCCACTTGTGGCTTATCTTTTGACCTTGGAGAAGACTCTTACCCTCCTTAGACCTCAATTTTTCCATCTCTCAAATGAGGCTAATAATTCCTGTGTTATTTTTATATCCTCTGTCGTTATCCTATATTGACGTTATGATGGACAATGAATAATATGGGTACACTGTTTTAAGCTTTTTGAAGTAAAAGAAGAAGATAAAGGCATGAAGACATTATTGTTACACTTTTTTTTTTTAAATATTTGTGAATCATTCTTTGCTTTTTCTTTTTTTTTTTGAGATGGAGTCTTGTTCTGTCACCCAGGCTGGAGTGCAGTGGCGTGATCTCAGTGCATTGCAAGCTCTGCCTCCAGGGTTCATGTGATTCTCCTGCCTCAGCCTCCCAAGTGGCTGGGACTATAGGTGTGCACCACCACGCCTGGCTAATTTTTGCATTTTTAATAGAAACGGGGTTTTGCCATGTTGGCCAGGCTGGTCTCGAACTCCCCACCTTAAGTGATCCATCCCCCTCTGCCTCCCAAAGTGCTGGGATACAGGCATGAACCACCGTGTTCCTTTTTTTTTTTTTTTTTGGTTAAATAAGAGACAGAGTCTTCACACTTAACTCTGTCACCCAGGCTGGAGTGCAGTGGCACTATCATGGCTCACTGCAGTCTCCAACTCCTGGGCTCAAACAGTCCTCCCGCCTTAGCCTCCCAAGTAGTTAGGACTACGGGTGCACACCACCACACTTGGCTAATTTTAAAACCTTTTTCTTTTTTTAGTCCGGGTGCGGTGGCTCACGCCTGTAATCCTAGCACTTTGGGAGGCCGAGGCTGGTGGATCACCTGAGGTCAGGAGTTCAAGACCAGCCTGGCCAACATGGTGA